AATTGTAATCGTTCAAAAATGTGTACGTTTTCGATAATTCAATGGATTTAAAAATAGTTATTTATATTTTAATATTATATTATGCATTTATATTGTTACGAACAAATCTAAATTAACATATATAAAATATATATATGTTTTTGCTGAGATTTGACAAAATTTTGCATCGTGATTACGTAATGACGTCATCACGCAACGTCATCACAACATCATTTAGCAACTTTTAGCAACAAATCAACCTTCCTTTAGCAACTTCCCCTGAAAATCAGTTGGCAACACTGTGCACTTGACTAGTTCCAGTACAGAACCTATAGGATGTTGCGCATGCGCGACTGAACGAATCACTCCCCGAGACGACTCGTTCTTCCCGAGTCACATTAAAGATTCGTTCAAAATGACTGAATCGTTCAAGAACGACCCAACACTAGCGCGCATGCCCGTGTCCCGCATTGTTAGGATCAGCTGGATGTGAAACCCCACCCAATGAGGAAGAACGAGCCGCGAGCAGCAGCAGCAGAACCGGACCGAGCTCGAGCCCGCACCATGATCGCGCTATTCAACAAGCTGCTGGACTGGTTCAAGGCGCTCTTCTGGAAGGAGGAGATGGAGCTGACGCTGGTCGGCCTGCAGTACTCGGGAAAAACCACCTTCGTCAACGTGATCGCGGTAATCAAGCCTCTCCTGCCTCTCGCTGTATTACAGGCCTCGCTCGAGTAACGGGTCGCGTGATTACAGAGAGATCGGACACGACTCTGCCGCGGATATGATGTGTGTCAGACCCGGAATCATCAGTGTAGCAGATCAGATACAATGTGTCCGATTCAGCATCCTTAGATGCAATGTATCAGTATGATCAGATACATTGTGTGCACCATTACATCAGATACAACATTATTTGATATAATGTATCATATACAGCATTGTTATCAGATACAATGTATCATATTCATTATATACAGTGTGTCAGATTCAGCATTGCTAGATACTGTGTATCATACAGAATACTCCGATCGGACTCGATGTATCAGAGTTTAGAACTGGATCAGATACAGCATCAGACTCGAAACAGAAGATACAGCTTCAGCATCATCAGATACATTGTGTGCATCATTAGATCAGATAGAATAGATCGGACACTCTAGAGAAGAAGCATCGCATCAGACACAATGTGTCCGATTCAGCATCATCAGGGCAGATAAAATACATATGATACAACATCATTCGATACAGTGTATCGCATACAGAATATCAGACACATTGTGTCGCATAATGCACTGTTAGATTAAAAACAATAAAGCAGACACAACATTAAACACAGTATAGAAGATAGAACATCATAATGTGTCAGATTCAGCATCATTAGATCAGATACAACGTTATTAGATATAATGTGTCACATACAACATCATCAGATCAAATCAGATACTATGTATCGTATATCTAATTAGATACAATGATTCAGATACAGTATCATCAGACACAAACTGACGTAAACAGAATTATTACATTTGTTCATTTAGCCGACACAATGTATCACATACAGTACCATGACAGATACAACATTGTTAGATATAATGTATCAGATCAGATAGGGCTGCACGATTAATCGAATGTGATTGTCATGCGCGTTTTGAACTGAAAGATACGCATGACAATCAGCTTCTGTCGAATCGCGATCTCAATTCCATTTCGATTTATCGTGCAGCCCTACTATCAGACACAAAGTATCAAAGACAGCATTATTACATTCATTCCTTTATCAGACACAGTGTATCAAATACAGTATCATCGGATCAGACACAGTGTATCAGGTTCAGTTGGGGAGATCCTGTCCAGCATCTGATCTACTTGACAGCTGTCAATCAAAACCTCCCGTTTCTCAGCCAATCAGCATCTGGCATTCTGTCCATCCAATCATGTGGTCTGCCTGAACAGTGTTTGAGTATTCAACAGCCACGCCACACACTCGCTCAGGAAGGTCGTCGGTGCATGAATCCAGGCGTTTAGTGGCAGTAAATCACATTAGGAGCCTGCTGTGGAGCTGCAGGGAGGTTTGGTCTGTGATGAAGCAGATTTCGGTCACATCAGGGGGTTGATGTGTAAAACTCTCTGTGTTTGTCTGTCGTCCTGCAGTCGGGTCAGTTCAGCGAGGACATGATCCCTACGGTCGGCTTCAACATGCGCAAGATCACCAAGGGAAACGTCACCATCAAGGTCAGGAGATCTCTGTCTGGAGATTACTCCAATCACACTGCAGAACCAAACAAGCATTTTAAATGTTGATCAAAAATATTAACTTAATTTTTACACGTTTTAGTGTAGACTGTATTTATCAAGCTCAGCCGTTCAACCCTGTTTCCAAAGTTATTGTAAGAAAAATAATCAAAACTAAATGTTCCTTTAGTTTATGGGAAGAATAAGATTATCAATAACTATAAACATAAATTAGCCAGCTCCTCCTGAGTGAGAGCTTCAGGTCAGCTAAATCGGGAACCCTCTTATGCATTTATTTAAAAATATTACAAAAGTCATCTTTAAATAAATAAATCAACATTTTTTGTATTTCACTTTCATATTTCTTTAGTAGTCGTTGCTAGAAAATAGCAAAATCGCATCAGTTTAACATTGTAACGAGACGTTTCAAATTGCAAATTTAAAAGAATTAATATAAAATAAATAGTTTGTTAAAATATAGCTTTATCTGCAACTGTCTTACCCATTAAAATTCAATCATAAATTGCATAGAATTAAAAACATGATATTTTTTATGCATTTAAAAATATAAGTTGTCTTTAAAAATTATATATTTGTATTTATTTTCATGTTTGTTCAGTAGCTATTGCTAGAAAATAGTGAAATCACAATCAGACGTTTAAAATTTTGTAAAAAAGTTGCAAATTTCATATAAAATAAAGAGTAAAATAAAATACTGCTTTTTCTGCACCCATTAAAATTTAAAACATAAAATGCATGAAATTTAAAAATTATATTTTCCGTTTAAAAATACAAGTCATCTTTAAATAATATTTAAATTAATTTCAATTTTAGCAGTTAATGCTAGAAAATCTCAGCATTGTTTTAATTTGTAATTAGATATAGTAAAATATAGTCAAATAAAATAATGCATTATTTACTTAATATAATTGTGTAATAAAAAGACTATAATATATAGTGTTTTACACTGTATTCTAGTAAATGAGTGATAGTGTGTGTGTGTTGTAGCTGTGGGACATCGGCGGTCAGCCGCGCTTCAGGAGCATGTGGGAGCGATACTGTCGCGGCGTCAGCACTATCGTGTGAGTATACTCGTAATCTCAGGTACGTTACCTAAATGCCGTTATGATGTCATGCGTTCCTAACAGATCGCGTGTGTCGTTCAGGTACATGGTTGATGCGGCGGATCCGGAGAAGATCGAGGCGTCGAAGAACGAACTGCACAACTTATTAGACAAACCGCAGCTGCAGGGAATCCCAGTGAGTCTGCCGTGATCATTTCTGCTTCGTTCATGTGTTTAGAGCATGTTTTATAGATTTGTTTTTTGTCTCTATGTGGATATTGGATCATAAAAGTGTCCGTCTTTCCTCAGGTTCTGGTTTTGGGCAATAAGCGAGATCTTCCCGGAGCTCTGGATGAGAAGGAGCTCATCGAGAGAATGTGAGTTCATCTGTAACAGTTCATAACTATATCCAAAGCATCTGAGTCTTTGAAGTTTTAATGCAGTCTGGTTCCGAGCCGATGACTGAAAACGCTTGTTAAATGTGATCTACAGGAACCTGTCGGCCATCCAGGACCGAGAGATCTGCTGTTACTCCATCTCCTGTAAGGAGCAGGACAACATCGGTAAGACTTTAATGATACTATGTTAAAAATACAGGGATTAAACCGCTTGTTTATTAACACTTCTGTGCAGTGTTTATGTTTATATGCTCTATATTACGCTCTTTCTTCAGCGTTTTTCACTTTCTGGCTCTTACCAGCGGTCATAAAAACCCTCTAAATATCAGGGAATTTTAAAATAGTGATTTCTAGGCCCAAAGTCATTAAAATATTTCATACAGATTTTTGTTTTCTCAATGATACTAAAATAACACTGTTAAAAATATTTCCTTATCGCCCTAGCATTTAATAAAATCTTCACAGAAGTCACAGCGATGTCTGTTTTGTAAGTGAATCATTCTTTCGAGACGGTTCTTCTCAATAAATGGTTCACAGATATGCGAGAATGATTCACTAGATTGTATCAAAATGAGTTTCCGTTCTATTAATTACAAATCTGCTGTCTGTGTTACTGTACCTTTAAGACGTCTCTTAAAATGTCTGTGAGCTCTGTGATTGGCTGACTTCTGTGTGTTGTGGGCAGGTCAGGTTGCTGGATATTGAATAAATGCAAATGTGGGCGGGAGATATGTTAATGAGCTCATGGTCATATGTTCCAGACATCACACTACAGTGGCTGATCCAGCACTCGCGGACCCGGAGGAGCTGAGGAGGCGGAGCCAGTGTCTGATTGGAGGAACCGCAACATGTGATCAACTGTATTTTAGGCGCTCTTGATTTCGTTCTAAACAAACAGGCATCCGCCCCTCTCTCTGTGCTTATAAACTAATCCACATCATTTACATCGTTTGAATGTTGATTTTTACTTTTACGCGAATGTGCTTTTTTACGGTTTGTCATGAAGTCACATGACACGTTTAGCTCGCGCGCATCATTCTGCGTGTTTGCTAGGAGATGGGATCAAACCTTGACTCGACGCCCACAGCATCTGTCAGAACTAGTGCTCCCTGGTCACATGCTTCAGGGCGTTCGCGCCGCCATCTTGTTTTAACGTTTTTCCAAGATTGTGCGAACATTCCACATGCTCTTTGATCGTTCCCTGGGAGATTCCGTTGATTTACACTGTTGCTTTGCGTTTAGTAAGATGTTAAATCTTACTATCATTAGCCTGTTAGCGTGACTCGGTGCTGGCGTTGTTTCTACAAACATGACATCATCCCGTAGGCATCAAGGTCACATAGTTTGCGTTAATATTGTAGCATTACGAAATCTTTTCATCTGAAAGCACATGAATCATTCTGAAGAGTTTAACGTGTCCAAATTAAGGTTTTATACGTTTCTTTTGAGTCGCTGTGACTACAGTGTTGTATCGTTGACGTGGGTGGGTTGTCATGGCAACCACATTGTTTGTTTTTTTTAGGAACGTCAGTCTGCGAGCGCGTGCAGAGCAACATCAGTGTTTTATTTGATTCTCGACGGGATGCAATACAGTATCAGGCGACAAATGTTGATCTGTCTCTGTCGGACCCGCAGATCGTTGCGCTAATAAAAACAGCGGAGATGCGGCAAATGTTGCGCGAATCTCCTGCTGAAGTCCAGTGTTGTTTCCGAACGCTGTTCCTATTGGGGAGAGACGAAGATCTTGTGATTTTTCTCGCTTTGATTATTTCGTTTACAGCCTGTTTCGTTTTTGTCGCACGTGTGGACGTTTTTGGCTTAAATCATAACGGCTTATAAACGCGTCAGTAGATTATACATATGTAAATTGACATATTTTGGTTGTTTTTGGCATGTTTTTTCACAGTGTTTTTCGACTGGATTATGTAAATAGCAACTTAAACCAAATGAGATCTCCCTCCTGAGCATTACGGTGTTTGTCTTATTGTGATTAGCATCCTATGATAATAATAACGATAATAATAACAAAGAAGACCCCACTCATATCACAGCAATCTGAACAAACAGATTGTGTGTGTGTGTGTGAGAGAGAGAGAGAGAGTGTGTAAGCGATGGTGTTTGTGTACGGATGCCGTCATGTAGACTAGAGTAATATTTACTTTATAAATGCCGAAGGTTTATTCTGTTGATTTTTCGCAATTGCTAATCACTTTATATTCATCTTCACTAATGTTTGATTGTCATTAGTTCATCGTCTACACAAGAGTGAACGACGCAATGCGACAAAATGGCGGTAATCAACACTGCTGCACTGGTTACGAAGTCATGTTACAAAGTCGACTTTGATGTTACGAAGTTACAATAATCACCATAGTTACAAAAGGTATTTTTACTACAATTCGACTGTTATCAAAACGTGCTGCAAACAGCTTTGTTGACAATAGCAGTCGTTACGAAGCCAACTTTTAGTTCTGTACAAAGTTGTGCGCTTGCGACAGCATTAGTATAATGAAGCCGACGTAACAAAGTTGATTTTGACAGTAATTTGCGAAGTCAAACTATGAAGTTACATTCATACTTTAAGTTCGTAAAAGGCATTGTCAAAATCAACTTCATAACAGTCATTTACGAAGTCAACCTAATGAAGTCGACTTTGTTGATTATACCCAAGTCTTTTTCGAAGTCAACCTAGTTGCGCACAACTTGCGCAACATCAAGTTCGTAAATGACTTTGTTGAAGTTGATTTGCAAAAGCTAACCAAGTCAACTTCGTTGATTTTATTGACATCTTTTACGAAGTTATACTAATGAAGTCGTTTTCATAATTCACTTGGATAGCTAAGTGGATTCAAACTGTTACGTGACTTTGTTAGGTTCGTAAATTACTTTGTAAAAGTCACTTATGAAGTCATCCTCCAGTTCGTTAATGAAGTGTGGAGCACTTTATGGATTATGACGGTCGGATTGTTGCTTTGTCGTGTTGTGTTACTTGATTCGCCATTGATCGCAGAACGTTTGTTTTTCTGCTGCTCTTGTTGTTCATGTTCACTCCTTTCATCATGAGCTCATCTGGGCTCTCGTCATCTTCTGTATGCGTGTTGATTCAGTTATTTTTTTTATGTCTAATTACATGTGGCCATAATGTTTCTTTTGATATTTTAATTGTTTGTAGCAGTGCCGCTCTTTTATTTGCTGGGGAATCATGCGATTTCACCCCTGCATGACTCATTATGGGATGGAGCTGGTTGCCGTAGTTACTGTATAATCAGCGTGTGATTGGACCGAGCTCGATTATGTTCTCCCCCCCCCCTTTATATGGATCAGACAGTAACTTTTTAAAGCAGTCATATAACAGGTGTTTCTGTACGAGACTCGATCAGTTGAGTTGTTCATTTGGGATCTTTCTATTCTCTCGTGCTCGCGGTGATAACTACATGTTGTTCTTGTTGTTATTTACAGATTATTTAAAAATGAAATTAAATGATTTCCCTCTCAGAACCACGGTTTGTTCTTTCTTTAATGAAGATGTGGTTTTGATTTAAGGTCTAATTCAGTGATACTGGACAAATCTATACTTCATGAGATTCATTTAAAAATAAAGGAGAAAATGTTGCTTTTTTAAGGAACTTTATTAGGAAAGTAAAAACATACAGAGTTTAATTTGGTGCTTTTGACTTAAATGTGAAGTGAAAAGTAGCATTCAGAATAGCATACTATCATACTATATTTTTGTAGTATGTGCTGTGCACCATGTTTAACTTTAGTACTTGCGGAACGCTTAATGATATACAAGTATGCGGTATCCCACAATGCAATGTGCTCAACCTACCTTAAAAAAAATAGTATGCAGTACAAGTAATATACTGTGCACTAAACAGTGAGCTTCAGCTTCTCCAGCAGAGGTCAGTAGAGACATACAAATATTTCTCTGATTAATTATTAATAAGATGAAATCTCTTCAACAGTTTTTTTCTCTTAAGATTAACTAAACGTTTCCTGATTTGACGTGAAAAATAAAAAATACTTATTAAACAGTAATACATGTTAAATTATTATCTGTCCCAAAATAAATGATTATATTAATTGATTTCATACTGAAATTACACAAACTCAGAGATCCAAACCCCCAGCAACCGCATAGAAACCGCGCACTACACTAACGTCACATCAGCGGCTTTCGCGCTCTTTTTATTCAAACGTACACAGACGTTCCCGCGCTCTGTTGGTTTTAGCGAGTTAACGGGGTTCATGTGAGGTCTGTCTGCGCACATTCATCCCGTCGGACCCCTCGCTGCTGTTGGTTTTGGCCTCGGACTCTGTTATTCAGCCGGTAGGATGTGAGAAGGCCAGAGGTCAGTGTTGTCACGGAGACGGTGACAGCGGATGTCCAGCGGGTCTGATCCGGCTCATGCCAGCGGAGCCCGCGGTCTTCCTGCTCCGCGGACGGACGTCGAGCCCCGCGGCGCTGCTGACGGTCGGTTCCGCCGAGCCCGCGGTGATCTGGAGCGGCCTTGAGAGGGTTTCCACGGCGATCTCACGCGGAGCAAAACAAACGGTGTCAGAGAGCCGTCAACCCACACAAAACACACACACACACAACTCTTGAATGAATATATAACGAACACACACTGACTCTGAGGAGACTTTCACACAACTTATTTACTTACACTACAGTACTGTGGTGGTTTCCCTTAAACATGTCGTTAAATACGTTATTGGAATACTGCAGTACTTTAATATGAATATGTCAAACACTCAGTACCGTGGTAACACCACAGTACTGTTTTCAATGTGTCAGATCAGTATTTTTTATGATGCTGATTGTCATTCATGAATTCACATCTGTGACAAAATAAGCCTCTGTGAGAGACACTGTGGGTTTATAGTTTAGGAACAAAAGTGTCCACAGAAGTGAGTTAAATGTGACAAAACCTCCTTTTGTGAACATCTGGGGACGGCTTCATTTAAAAAAAGATTCATAATGTTTTTTTAAATTATTATTTAAAGACATATGGGTTATGGAAGTCCGTTTCCGCCACTGAATAAAAAAATAAAAAAGGTAATTGCGACTTTTTATCTCACAATTCTGACTTTTTTCTCAGAATTGCGCGATACGAACTCGCAATTTTGACTTACTTTCTCAGAATTGCATGATATAAACTCGCAATGGCGAGACAAAGTCGCAATTCTGATTAATAAAGTCAGAACTGCGAGATATAAACTCACAGTTCTGAGAACATAGTCTTTTTTCCCCCCTCAAAATTGGACTTTATAACTCGCAATTGTGAGTTTATATCTCACAATTTTGAGAAAAAAGTCAGAATTGCGAGATATATACTCAGAGGTCGCCATAGCAACAGTGCGCTAATCGAGCGTTTTCGTTAATAATAGTATTCAACAGCAGATACACAGACGAAATACTTTATTTTAGATTTATATTTTACAAATATATCCCAAAATTGTTTATGAATAAAATATATATCATTTTACATGTAATATTATTTGAACATTTAATAATTTAAAACATTTAAAAAATATTTTCATTCAATGTCACAATTTCACCACAAGGGGCGCTGTTGTGGAAATTGTTCTTTCTTTTCAGCTCAGATAATCTTTCTGATCAAGTTTTGTAAATTTACATAAACTCATGTTTATATGTAGCTACCTGAATATTATCTGGTTTAATAGCACAACGTTTTAAGGAAATTCCATCACGCTCTGAGGTTTGTTACCACATGGCAAACTTCAAAAGATTGTGCCCCAAGAATCAGCTTGAAACTTTTTTTTTTTTTTAAGTGTAAAACACACTCTTGACCTCATTCTGTACGGTTCATGACAGCACAGAGCGTTTAATCCACCCCAGATTACTTGTTACCCCATTCTTCCCGCGGAGCCCCTCCGTGTTACCCACATCAACGCGAGGGTCCCGTCTCCACGACAACCGGCGATCCGAGAGAATGTCGCGTCTGTTTCTGATCCGCCGCTGTTTGGAGTCTGAATGCCGAAAGCTGGCGTGTGAAAGTCGCATAGCAACCGCTCAGGGGCCGCTATTGATATTCAGCGCGGGGGCCGCGGCTCGGGAACAATACGGCCCTTATGGGCCCCCACGGCTCCTCCTGAGAATCTACTGTAGGAGGAAAATCACTTCAGAACAGCCAAGAGACAGCAGTTCAACTGTGTGTGCGTTTCTTTCACACAGACCACCGGTCACATAAGTACAAATCCTTTAAGCGTTTGTGTGAGTAAAACAGAGAAGCAATAAGTTTGCAAAGTTTACGTAACATATTCAAACTCTTTTATTGGCTGCAACCAAGTACAAAAAAGAAATACAAAAGATTCGATGCTAACCATATGTTCAGCTATATCAGGTTCACTTTGCTATTATAGTCATTACTATCTAATGTGTTAAAGTTGTAAAGTTTTTTCAGTATTTTCCCATAGTTCATAGAGTCGTTTGTCTCTGCTGAGAGTTTGTAAAGTCGTTTAATTCCAGCAGAGATTCAGACAGTCTTTGATATGTGAGACAGACTCAATAAAACACAACATTTCTTCTTCAAAACTTATAAAGGTTGATCTGAAAAGACGATTTCTGTTTTTCCAAAACATACTTTCATTTTTAAACACTGACAATTTAAAGATGAAAATTCATTAAGTGCATAAAAACACAATGTTTTCAAGTTTGCCGCAACTGTCCATCCAGCAGTACAAAGTTTATGGATAAACAAAATATTAGTTATTAATTCCAATGAAATACAATAAAGTTCACAATTTCTTTGTATTTCTGTAGTGTAGAAGTGATGGATCTATAAAGAAAATAGACGTACAGACTGAAATACAGCAACTAAACGAGGATTTTAAATCGCTAAATGTGAGACAAAACAAAACTGATTGAATGAACAGAAAATTGCGTTTCTGTGTTTAACTCTCCTCATCCAGCGGTGAGTGACGGCATGATAATTCTATAGCTTATAACATTTTTATTTTATATTTTTAATTTAATAAAATATTGTGATAATTTATTAACACATTTTTTGTGTTCTGCACACAAAATAAAGTCGTATAGGTTTGGAACATTTAAATGGCAACAGAATGATCTTTTTGTGTGAACTGTCCCTTTAAGAGTGTTAGCGATGGGCGATATTTCATTCACAGTTTTTATAAGTGGACACTGATTCCAACGTTCCGAGATCAACACGGCGTTCCGATGATCAGCTCGGCCGTACCATCCTTCACTTTATCGAAGAACACCGCGGGCGACGTTCCCGACACGATCTTCACTTTCTCCTCCTGGACAGAGACGGGTGAGGACAGGGACGAGGAGATGGCCGTGGCGTTGGTGGACGAAGACATGGACGACGACGAAGGATCCGGCAGACACTCATCGCAACAGCAGCAGCAGCAGTCCATGAACGCCTGGCCGAGAGAGCGACAGATGCAGAGCAACAGGACGGGCGTCGCTGCCGCCCGGACGAACAACAGGAACTGGCCAATCAGAGCGAGCAGCGCCTTTGTGGCCATGTCTACCTCCACACCCGCGTAAGCCAGAACGAAGTTCCACACGTTTTCCGGCAAACTGCATACGGCGTAAATGGATGCCAAGGCCACCACCGTACGGGTCAGCTGACGCTCTCGCCGCTGCTTCTTCAGAGACGAGGACGCGGAGGACGACGAAGATGACATGGAGGACGGACGCGCGGCTTTGCTCTTGGCGTTCTCGTCCGTGACGTGTCGCGTGAGCAGCTGACACGCGCCGGTGAACAACAGCGGCAGGCAGAAGAAACATCCGAAGGTCCACCACATTCTGGCCTGATGGTACGTCAGCACCAGCGAGTACAGCGTCTCCGGCAGCGTCACGGATGGCTGCTGACTGCACGAGTCCACCGGCAGACCCGTCCGCGGAGACACCTCCTGCTCCAGACGCCACATCAGCAGCTCAGGAGCGGCCAGAACCAGAGATCCCACCCAGATCACCGACAGCTTGGCCAGGATGGACTGACAGGACTCGACCTGCTGCGGCCGCGTCTGAACGCTGGTCACCGCGTGGAAGCGGTCGATGCTGAGCGCGCACAGAGTAAACGTGGTCACGCCGAGAGACGTCACCTGAAAGACACGTCAACAAACACACGTCAGCAACATACAGACTGACATGAAATCACATGACCTGCATTTAACTATGGTAATACTACATTTTTGGACCCATAGCATGGTAAAAAAAAAATTTGGGGGACATGTACAATGGTAAAACCTTTTTTTTTTTTCATATTTACCATGGTGATACCACTCCTTTTTGGATGTCTACTATGGTGATGCCATGTTTTTGAACATGTATAATGGTAAAACCACATTTTTGGGGACATTTACCATGGTTATACCACATTTTTTGGAAGATATCTACTCTGGTGATACCATGTTTTTGGACATGTACCATGGCAAAACCATGTTTTTTGGACATGTACAATGGTCATACCACATTTTTTTGGACATCTACTCTGGTGATACCATATTTTGGACATATACCATGGCAAAACCATGTTTTTTGGACATGTACAATGGTCATACCACATTTTTTTGGACATCTACTCTGGTGATACCATATTTTGGACATATACCATGGCAAAACCATGTTTTTTGGACATGTACAATGGTCATACCACATTTTTTTGGACATCTACTCTGGTGATACCATATTTTGGACATATACCATGGCAAAACCATGTTTTTTGGACATGTACAATGGTCATACCACATTTTTTTGGATATCTACTCTGGTGATACCATGTTTTTGGACATGAAAGATCTGGAAAGCATCTGCTGTGTACAAACATCTGACAGACGTCAGTTTTACATCTTAAAGACACCTTCTAAACGTCTATTTGACATCTGATAGGAAACGTCCTGTAGACGTATTGCAGAAGACGCGCAAACACTAAAAAATAGGTCTTGCAGATGTAAATGCGACGTTAAATAGACGTCTCTGTGATGTACGTGTGCTGTCAGGGTAGATGTGTGTATATGAACAGACTGCCTGATTGGTTGCCTAATTAATTAATTGACTGATTGCGGATTTGATTGGTCACACACCTCCACATATGGCACTATCCTGCAGGACAGATCTCCCATCAGTCGTCTCTTGGTCAGCTCGTTGAAGATGACCACCGGCAGGATGATGTGCTGCGGATGAGCGGGAGCTCCAGTCTGACCATCTCCACAAGTTCTGCTCTTCTAGTTTCTCATCAAGCTCTTGAAGAACGCCAGAATAAAACCTGCCCCCTTGTGGACGATAAACATCACTGTTCACTTGCAGAAAAGTGGAAGGATTTTGGAAAGGTTGTCATGGTGACCCCTGATAACAACGTCGCATTTACATCTGCTAGACGTATTTTTTAGAGCGTTTGCTCATCTGCAATACGTCTACAGGACGTTTCCTATCAGATGCCAAATAGACGTTTAGAAGATGTCTTTCAGATGTTTATGATTTTGAATGTAGGGGAGAGCGGGGCACAATGTAACACTTTTTGATTTTCTCAGTTTGCGTAGCTTAAAATGTTATCTGATCTAATAAAAAATAAAAATAAATATATATATATATATAAGCCAAACTAAAATATTTTGTTCATAAAATAAAGTAATCATTTTTTTTTTCTGTCTTGAAATAATAATTTCTGAACATTAAACATTGACTGTCAGTCTTTATTCACCTGTTTCTCGTTGTTTCTCATTAAAATTCATTAAAGTAAATAGTGTAAATTACATCGCTAATGTCATAGAATAGCACGTTGTAACACAGTGTTACATCGTGTCCCAT